TCAAGTCCCCAGAGAGGTGACCCCCTACCCTCTCTCCCACTCACACGCACGCACACACACACACACTTCTCCCACACCGCTCACCCACGCGCACCGGGCCTTGCACTTTGAACGCCGTGCCGGCTCCTGTCTTTTCAGACGTGGAGTCGCGAGGGGGCTAGCCTGGCCCCTTTTGCCCCACGCCGCACCCCTGTGTGGAGGGGTTCCCCTTGCCTTACCTCACCTTAGGTCAACTTTGAGGAGCTCGGCCGCTGCACCGACGACTTCAACGGCGCGCAGCTCAAGGCCGTCTGCGTGGAGGCGGGCATGATTGCGCTGCGCAACGAGCGGACAGAGATTGTGCACGAGGATTTTATGGAGGGGCTGACGGCCGTGCAGGCAAAGAAGAAGGCGACGCTGTCCTATTACGCGTGACGCGCGTGTGCTCTGAACGCCCCCGCGCCGCGCGCGATGGCGGAGAGCTCGGCGCGGGTGGGGGTGTTTGGTAGGACGAGGATACTGGCCGCTCGAGGCAGCGGAGGACGCGGATGCTGCTTTTTCTATACTGTTGTCTCGCTTGTCGGATTCTGTTTCTACCTGTCATGAGGTAAGGTAACGTAAGGTAAATACACTTCTCCACACACAAACACGGCGGTGTGGGGGCAGGGGGGGGCGTCCCTTGCAACTGCCAGTAGGAACTGCACCTCTAGACGACACTCAGGAGCCCCAAGGCATTAAAATAAAAAAGTGCAAGTGGCGGCGCAGTGCGGTGTCGTTCGAGGGTTCCGCACATCCAGTTGTCACTGATCTTTGTACGCTGCATCCCAGTTTGCGCACACACGTGTCGTGCGCCCGAGCGCACGGCTCTACGCCGCCGTCACTGGACCGTGGGTCAGGGTGCCGTGCGCGGTGAGACGGGTGATCCCGAATCTCGTGCGCCGTGGAGTGACTGACGAGAGCACAGCGCAGTCCGCAGACATGGGGGCCGGACGAAAGCGGCTGCGCGTGTGAACGGTGAAACGGCGTGTGGTCCGTCGCGTCGGTCGCGGCGATCGCGCTGGGAGAGACTACAAGAAAGTGATGGCCTCGTGGTTCGCCTGCCTGGCGTCCCTTTCTGGTCCCTGACCCTGTGGGGACCCTGCGGGGACTTCCGCCTCTTGTGCTTCCTCCTCCTCTCTTCCTCCGAGCAAATGCTGATCAGACTCGACCTGACCCGCCTTGCTCCTCCATTTAAGCAGTTCCTTTGCCGCGTCGCTGCTCAGTCCGTACCTCACGTGTGGAGCCTGCTCCACCTGCGCGCCATTGCGCCGGCGGCGCCGGCGCTGTCGGCCGTGCCGGGCTGCTGGGGCCAGCCCGGGCGCCACGCTGGCCCCAGCCCGCCTGCAGCAACGCGAGTACACAATGGTGCCAGCAAGGATGGCCGCAATCGGGACGACGAGGCCGATGTACATTGCTTGGCCTCCTGGTTCACCGGGCATAATGCTCCAGAGAGCAGCAGCGCTAGATGCGGCGTTAGCGGCGACTTGTGACACTCACAGGACGCGCACGTACCGGCCTATGACAAAACAAACGTGGGCTCGCAAGATTTCTGTTTCGAGGTCCCCGCGGCTCTACTCGGCCGGCCTTCGTCGGCCGCCGCCGGGTCGCCGCCGCTCGCCCAGTGGCAGAGGGGCGTGTCGCTTCTCGACCTAAAAAAGAAAACGGCTGTATTTCTTTTTTTGGGTATGTATTTCTTTTTTAGGGCGTGTCGCTTCTCGACCAGAGCTCCAACGCGAGGCTGGAGCAGAACGGGGGCCAGCCTACGTGAGGTAAGGTCAGGTAAACTTCTCCACACACACACACACACGCTGGTGGGGCAAGGGCCCGGCGGCCCTCGCATCTCCACGTCTGGACGACAGGAGCCGCGCAGGGAAACCAGAGGGTCCCCAGCACTTTGCGTTTCCGGAAGTTTCCAGGGAAACCAGAGGGTGTTTGGTGCTCCATTCTGTTCCTCTCGAGTTTCCCTCGGGAAACTCGCGAGTTTCCCGTGCTCTTGGGAAGAGGTTCCTCCTTTCCGCTCCCCCCCCGCAAGGCGCGAGACACACACTTCCCTGAGTCTGAGAGCTGGTCTGGGGCAAAATCTGGGGCAAAATTGAGGGAATCGGCACGATACCCAGGTATTTTCCAGGTATACCGGGGTTTTCCAGGTATACCCGCAAAATACCCGGTATTTTGCCGATTTTGGCCCGAAAACAGCCTCAGACACGGCTCAGAGCGCCCCCAAAATGACGAATTCCACGGAGTTTCCCCGGGGTTTCCCGAGGAAACTAGAGGGTGTTGTAGGGAAACGAGCAGGAAACACGGAAAGGAAACCAGGTAGGGTGCGAGAGGAAACCCTCGGAAAGGCCAAGGGGCGCCCAGTAGGGCGCCGGCACCCCAGCGTAGAGGGCGTCGTGTAGCTCTCCTTTTGGTATAATATAAATATTATGAACCGCGCAGCTCTTCTCCCGAGCTTGCGGGTATTTCGAAAAGGTATCTTGGTGGGCTGGCAAATCAGGGATATGCGGGAATTTCGATGGTGCGTTACGTTCTGTTACGGCCACAGGCCGATAAAACACCCCCGGGACACACATGGCGGAGGCGGCCGCGCGTCGGCGCTCTTTCACCGACGCCGACGAGGCACGGATGTTTCGCTCCCTCCAGAACGTCACCGGCGGCCACGCCACCGTCCAGCGGCTCGGCGGGCCACACTCGGCCGCTCCACTCCTGTGCCAATCCCCGCGCTGCGCTGCTCACCTGGAGTAGCCACTCCTCTTGCACTCCTCAGGGTCGTGCGGGCCTGACCGGGCCCTCGCCCCGAGTGACCGCAGGTGTGGCCTACTCCAACGCCAACCGAGCCAAGATTGGGGCCAGACTGCGGGCAGAGGAGGCGGCGGGGGTGGTGCGGCCTCAGCCGCGAGATCTGGACGCAGAGAGACGCCGCACGCACTCCGTGCCAGCCCGCACCTCGGAAAGAGGCGTCTCCGTTCCTCGTGTCGGGCTCGTGCGGCCAACGCCCCCGGCGCCCATCACACGCGTCCCGCACCGAGCGCGTCGCCCGGCCAGCGGCAGTTACGAGCGAGAGAGGGCGCCGCCTGGGCTGCCGACCCAGTCGTCGGACGAGAAGAAAGCTGCCCTCGCAGCGCAAAATGCGCGGGCGGGGAAGTCCGAGAGCGAGGCTGCCGAGGAGAAGTTATCGGATGTGCCGCGAGCGGCGCCACCCATTGAGTCGCATCGAAATCGAATATAGGTCGCCGAGGAGGCGGCGGTGGCAGCGGCCCGCGCAGCCAGGGCGAGGCCGGCGGGCGTCGCGTCGGAGGAGCAGCAAGCAGCGGGGCTACGTGCCCAAATCGCGGACGAGATTGCAGAACGGCAGCACTTTCTCGACGAGATGGCTGCGCTGGGCAGAGGGGACAAGAGTCTCTTGGCTCAGCTACGCGGGGAAATTGCTGAGAGGGTTAGGGATCTGGCGCGGTTGGATGCGATGTGCCTCTAGACGTGATCCCACGAGCGCCGGCGCAGTACTACCGGCGCTGACTCGAGACGTTGCGCGGGGGCACTTTAGAGCGCGCGAGTCGACTCAAGTCACGTGTCACGAGCGAGCGCGCGCGCGGCGCGCGCGCGCGCGGGCGGGGGGGTGCGCGAGAGCGCCGCGACTCCCCGGCTCTCCGGCGGCCCGGCAGCGGCACTTTGTCGTGTGTCCACCCCGACACCGAACACCCGGCTGGGTGCGGAGAGGGAGACAGAGGTTTCGCGCCATGTGCCGCGCTTTGTGGGGACTGACTCTCTCTGTACGCGCCCGCTCTCGTCTTAAACGCGCGTTTACAACCCAAAACTGGCAGCGCCGGCGGCGGTCTGACTTTGAGGTTGAGAGGACAGACGTACGGACAGCGAAAGGTCGGTTCCGCCGCCATCGAAACGCGAGACCGACTTCCAGCGCGTCACCAGACCGGCTTTGAGCCTGGCTCAGCCCAGTACGATTTGGGATCTTCTTTCGTTCCCTTGAGTTCGCCTACGAGGTTGGCGTAGGGCGTGAGACGGAAGGTCTCCTCCTTCCGAGTGGCTAGATCACCGCAGACGGCAGCGGAGCAGAGATCGATAGGCGGCAGCGCAGGCGGGCAAAGCGCTAGCAAGTGTCGGCGAGCTCTAGCGGAGCAGAGATCGATAGGCGGCAGCGCAGGCGGGCAAAGCGCTAGCATGTGTCGGCGAGCTCTCACCGTACATCATCGTCGTGAGGAAAGCGTAGAACAGCGGCATGCTGAATGTGAACAGCACCTCGACGCCGAGTTCTCGCCAGGATGTCATCCGTGCGGCGCGTCGTGAGTCAGCAAGTGTGAGCAGCGAGAGAGCAAGAATTTTACAAGGCAACTCCGTCGCACATTTTCTAGAGGTTCTCGAGGTGGATATCCTTTCGCCGCGTTGGGTAGCGAGGATTGGTGTAACCCGAGCCACGGAGGCGTGTTTTCTGACGGCCGACCGTCAGTGCACGGAGTTGCCACTTCTCCGACTGCCCCGGCTAGTTCACGGGTTTCGCGGGAGTGACCCCATGCGTCAAACCCGAGACCTAGCGCGGGTGGGTTGGAGGGGCCTCGGAAAGGCGCGCAAGCACGCCCTACGTCTTCCCCTCCTCCCCATCGGGCCGCGTGAGCGGCCACGCCTCGCAGATTCGTTTTCGCGCCTGGGTCAGGCGCGCGGGGCATCCCCCGGGTCGCTCGACCAGCGTCGCACATTTAAAATCCCTGTGTGGTGGCGGCGTGCCGTCCTCCCATCCCTCCCTTGGGTTGCGTGTTTTCTTTCTTTCTTTCTTTCTACACTGGGCACGGGACTGGCGCGCACTGAGCAAGAAAACCGCGCGGCGCGCGGCTTCTGTTTCCCTTTGTCCTTGCGCGAGGAGAGCTCGATAGACTCGAGGGGCCAGGATATGCAGCAAGGAGGGCGGAGCTGCGCCGAAAGGCGAAAGAAGCCGAGAGAACAAGGGAACGGCAGGCGGCGGCGCGCTGGAAGATTGCAGTGCGCAGCCTGCAGGCGAACGCCGAGGCCGCTGGACAGGAAGGGAGAGAGGATGAACAGGCTGCGTTGGGGTGCATCACGCACCTCCGAGCCTTCTGATTGTTTGGTGCCTCATCCAAGGGTGGTGTCTTCTCGGTGCCGCCACGTTTGCCGCCTGCGAACAGCCGCACGCCGAATTGCAGCTGCAAAGACGAGCGATTAAGCAGGGGAGGTTTGAGGCCATTGTCGCACGTTATGGCCTCAACAACGACTGTCGTGGATGATCTTAGGGAATGGTTTCAGGACTTTGAAGACCTGGGCGGCGGTTGGACGCCGAACACCTGGGACTTCTACAACTCTTACCTCTTCTGCTTGACCATCACCGCGTTCAATGGACTATGGTACTTCGAGCCCGCCACTTCAGGTGGCAAACTTGCGCTCGTCCTGTGGGGGGCGCCCGCCCTCGTAATTGGCGTCATGGGCGGCATGGTCATGGCCCGGGTGCTTTACCTTGCCTTGTTTAATCATCTCCGCGTGTGGTCGTGCTTCACGCCGGTCGGCTCAATGTGGGAACGCGCAAGGCTGTGCGAGGCCTCGTTTAGCAAGTGGCGAGACCAGGTGCACTTCACGTGCAAGTACCTGCTGCTCATTCTGCTGCTCATTCTGACCATCCACGTGCCGTTGACATTTTGACATTTTACCTCATCGACAACGCTGTAGATAATGACAAGGACCCCGGCGACGACTTCAAGAGAAACTCGCTTGGCGAAAATCTCTACTTTTCATTTGGGCCTGTCCCACAGGTGGTTGGGTGATTGGGTGGCTGGGTGGCTGGGTGGGTGGGTGGGTGGGTGGGTGGGTGCAACGCGGTATGGGTGGACGCTAGACGGGCGATGACGGTCACACAGGAGCGACACACAGAACCACAAGACAAGACACTCAGCCAACGTGGCTGCCACACATCCTGAGCGAACTCCCCTAGTCACCCGCGGCCGGACTCCATCCGGCACGCGTCGCTGGGCACTCAAAGCCGCGTCCCCTGCTCGCCACCCCGACGCCCAAGGCGCCCGAGTCGAACGACAGGCGGCACGCGAAGACTGGTTGCAATCCCGCCGACCGCGAGGCCGCGGGATGATGTGTGCGTGGTCACGTATTGGGTCTCGGAAGCTGTCCTCTCGAGCTAGGAGCCAGCCCCTCTCCCTTGCCCTCGGAACACTGTGTCCGAGTCGAGGCGTGTGCTTACCGGTCGACGGCCGCGCGCGGTTGGCATTGTGACGAAGGGTGCGCGCGGCCGCGGCGCGCCCGCCATGGCTTGGCGCGGCGCGCCTACCAGCGGCAATTGTCGAGGCACGGGAACCTCGCCCTGGGACCCCGCGCTGACTTCTGACTGTCGTTGCTGTCTATCTCGTTCTCGACTGTCTGTGCTTGTGCGTCTTGGGTCCGGTGTTGTGTTTTTGTGTGAACAGCGTCCAGATTCTCAACGTCAAACGACGATATCGAACAGACCAGCCGAGCTCGTACACATCCATAGCGGGACGACAACCTCCGATCGATGGGTGGAGCCTCTAAACTGGTGTTCTTGTCTGGAAGAGATCGCAACCCGGCAGACTCCCACGCGAGAGATTTTGACGACTGCATCGAGAGCGCACGTCAAACGGCGGTTGAGCGTCTGGTGGCTAGCTCCTCACACGGTGTGTCCTCCTTCGACATCGGCACAGAGCCATCGCTCCTCTCCGCATTCAACGGGAGCTGGAAGAAGCTCGGCGCCGTCCGCCACGTCGCGCAGCGATGGCCGGGGGGCGCTGACGGCCTCCTGTTGTGGCACGACGCCGACACTGTGCCGATCGACGCATCCGGAGTCTCAGTGGTGGAGCGCGCCAGGCGGATCGCTGCCCTGCAGCCGGGGGTCGACCTCTGGATGCAGCCCGGCGAAGAGCTCGTCAAGGTGACGCCCGACTACTACTGGCACTCGCTCGAGGGCGTCTCGCTCGCAAGCCTCCGCCACCTCGTCTGGCTCATCGGGCCCCACGCGCTGCAGGCGTGGCGACGCCGGGGACGCCCTTTGCTTGTTACGTGAACGTGCATATCCCTTGCGTCGCGCCCACACGACGCCGTGCGTATGCTCGCACAGCATACGGACAGTAGACACCCGCGCGCTGCGCAAGCCAACGAGTGTTGAGGCCTGGATAACTAAGCTTCGAGTTCTCCGCCCGGCGGCTCTGCATTCAGGCGGGCGTGCTCCTCGTGCGGGGTGCCCACTCCTCAACGGCAACCGACGCGCTGCGGTGCCGCGACGCATCTCTCTCTCTCTCTCTCTCTCTCTCTCTCTCTCTCTGCGTGTGTGTGTGTGTGTGTGTGTGTGTGTGTGTGCGTGAGTGTGTGTGAGTGTGTGTGAGTGAGAGTGTGTGAGTGTGTGTGTGACGGGCGTGCCACCACATTACGCCAGTCACGCTCGCTCACCCTCCATTGTTGCTTAGGTACCGCCACGCGACCCGCGGCCAGCTGGGCGGCTTCTACAACGGCGAGCCCCTCTACTCTGCCCCGCGAGGCCCAGCGAGCGGTGGTGTGTGAGAACGCTACAACAGGAGCTGGATCGCCCGGCCGCTACTAGTTGCTGCCTCATGCATCGCATTTGCCGGTGCGGGTATTGTCCAGTACAACCGGGCGGTGTTGACGATGCCGGATTGGGCCGCATACTAGGCGAGGCCCGCGACCAAGGCCCGCTGACCCACCACTTGCTGCAGCGGGCAGAGCGTGTCCGCCTCGTCGGCTAGCGGCCCGGGGTCTCTCGCGGCCATCTCCACCAGACACGCGAACACGACACGTCCACAGCGCATCCCATAGGCTGGCTGCAGCAATCATTCGGTGCGCGCACCCTCCGCCGCCCGGTGCTGCTCCATCCCCTCCATGACACATTGTCCACGGCACGTCCATGGCGCGTGCCCCACAGGCCCGCACCTCCGCGCTGCCCCTCCCGCGCTGGCCGGCGTGGACCCCTCCTTCATCCACTTCGCCGGCTGCTCCTTCACCGCGGCGCGCGCCAAGGTGCGGTGTGCCCTCTCCGACTCTTTCCGTGTGCGCGCGCTCCTTCACCGCGCTCGTTGCTTGGGCACTGTTTGGGAGGGAACCAGGGAACGGGGCTGCAGGGGAGAGGGCGTCCCTCTCCGCCTGCTCGTGCCAAGAGGCCCGCGGCTGCCGCTTCAGGCGTGTGTGAGGGAATTCTGCAGACAAGGGCACGGCGCCGACCAGCGTGACCTTCGGGCGAACCTTTCGGGCTTGTTGGTGCAGCGGCGGCAGCAGCAAGCCGTTGCCGCCAGCCGGGAGGCCCGCTCGGCGCTGCCCGTGCAGCTTGCACGCCGCGGCTTCGTTGCGGCCGTCGAGGTCGAGCCCGTCCATTTGCTGCTCGTCGCCGGCGTCGTTTGGCTGCTGCTGGCCCGTCGCCGGCTTTGCTTTGCCGTGCGCCGCGGAGGACGCGCCGTCGACACAGACGAGTGAGGGGCGTTATGATGTAACATACTTCCGGGCCGGTGTGCGGGGAGCGAACATCCGAGGTGTAGCCAGGCCGCCGTGATATCGGCCCCTGAAGCTGAACCCTGTTTTCAGGTAGCCGTTTAGGGTTAATGTATGCATGCATTACCCCCCCCCGCTCTTTACACGCGTCGCCTCATCAAGCGACTCCTAAGGCGCTGCCGGTGCTGTCGGCAGCGCCGCCTCGATTAGAGCCGTACCTCTGCAGGGGCTGCCGGGAGAGGCGGCACAGAGGACCTATTGGCTGCAGCCTCCGTGGGAGCCGACCTGCCGCGTGCGCGCCCCGCCACGCGCAGGCGCTTGTCGGCCTTCCGGGTCGATCGGTCCTTCCGAGGCATCGAGGAGCGTTTGTTCCCTCTCTTTCTTTCTTTCTGTTTTCCGCTTTGAGCTAGCCTTCGATGTTAGGAAACAAAGCAAGGCGGACACACGCATGGCATATCGCTCTCGTTGCGTTTTTTGTGTTTCTCTCGCGATACACTCTCCTCTCGAGGTTCTCGAGGTGGATATCCTTTGGCCGCGTTGGGTAGCGAGGATTGGTGTAACCCGAGCCACGGAGGCGTGTTTTCTGACGAAGAAAGAAGTGTGGGACATATGTGCTTCCTTGTGGGAAGGTGCGTCGACAAGGTTGTCCTTTTTTGTTGTGTGCGATTGATTGCCACCACTCCAATGCACATGCACACACTAGCAAACAATTAGCCTAATAATGCTAATAATGTACCTAACTATTAGCAGGTACCTATTTATTAGCAGTACCTAAAATACAAGGCAATTATTAGATTTTTTAATTAACGAAACTGCACATGTGATCATGGTCGCTCGTTCTCTGACTCTGTGCTGCGACGACATTTTTCGTTGGTCAGCTGAGTGGGCGACGCAACCGTGGGATATTGTTTGCAGAGCTGTGAGGAGCTGAGGACACACTCAGAACCTCTCGAGCCGAAGTTTGGGCCCAGTGAGATACACTAAGGCTGAGCACTATACTCACACGCGTAGATACGAGAGTGTAAGTATAAGTATAGAAGAAATGAGCTTGAACGTGGCCACGGTCGACGAGGGACCGGTCAACGCACTAAAACCGGCTCTCATGTCCTTTCTATTGCTAATACCCAACTCCGTACTATCAGATTTCTGTGCAAGGCTGTTGGAGGATGCACAAAGGGGTGCGGGCGCTGGCGGGCAGCTGTGAGCGCACAATTCACGAGGCTATACCTGATTCTGCTTACCAGCCCTGGAGAAGTAGACACGTCACTCTATGCGCCGTGAAGCAAGACGGGAGGCGCTTGCTGCGTATGTGAGGACCTCCGTTTGTGAGGACCTTTGTGCATGTGTGAGGTTGAGAGGACGACTCCAATCTGCTGAATTGTATCCCTTATCACGCCTGCGCGCAGGGATAGCACAACGAACCTGTTGGCTGCAATGCTCCAACACACACACAACAGACAACACCTTGCCCCCTTGCGCGCAACCGTGGGATGTTTGTTTGATCCCCTGACCGCGCTGTGAGGACCTCCGACGACGAGCGAGGACCTCTCGATACTCAGACTCTCGAGAGAGCCAAAGTCTGGCGGAGCACGATAGCGGCAGACAAGGAGTGACGTACCAGCCAGCATCTTTACCTCCGTCGTCTCGATGTGATGATTGCAACGCCGTTTACGTGCTTGGAGGAGCCGCGGCGCGGGTGATAGGAGGTGAAGGAGTGGACTTTATACAAGTGTAACGAGCATACATTGTGTTGTCGGTATGTGCGATGATTGGCCCACAATCGCGTTTCCCTTGCTTTGCCTGGACGAATTCTTTTTTATGCGTCGTTACAGGTGTGTGCTTGGGCGGCACTCATGACGGGGTAGGTAGGGTCCCGTCGGGTTTTTCCCTCTCTTGGAGCACTTGGACTCTTCAAGCTGGAATTTTCACAGCAAAAAAAGAAATTTTCCGCGGAAATCACGATGTCAACCCTCCCCAAATGGGTGATCTGATGCTGGTAGGGCTTGAGAGTGGTTGGTCGTTAATTATATTCGTGTGCTGCGCCGGGCGGCCACGTTGCCGCCATCCCTCGCTCCACCCGCACCGACCTCCGACGCAGCCACGTGCTGCTGCCACGCGCGTGGAGCAGCAGGACCTGCTACCATGCCCAAGCCGATCTGCGCGCAGCCTTCCAATCCGGTTCCAAGGCGTATGCGGTCCTCGAGCGCCGCAAGAACTGTGTAGTAAATTACCACCTCGTGTGTGTGGAGAAGTTTACCTTACCTTACCTTAGCACGTCCGGTACGCTCGGCGCGCTCCTCGGCGCCAGCTCGCGCTGCTCGGCGCGTGAGGCGTGTGTAGAGAGAGCGTAGAGAGAGTGTATGTCTCTGCTGGAATATATCGGGTAAGTTTAGATTTTACGTGGCGACCCCGGCTAGTCGGCCGACCACACCCCACAAAGAACCCTGCACAAAGATCGCAAGGGCGGGGACCTGTTCCTATTTACCCATCTCACAGTAGGGAGGTGTCCGTTTTTATTTATTTATTTATCGTACGTGGCGTCGCCCCGTGCTAACCGCGCCGCGCTACCAGCCCGTGTGCGCCAGTCCCTCCAGCCACCTCCCGCTCCGCTTCGCGCTCGAGCCCCCTGGCTCAAATCGCCACATCCCGCGCGCGCCCTGGTCGTCCACAGCGCCGACACGAACGTGCCGACACGAAAAACATGCCTCGAGAAGTGAGCACCGGCCGCGCGCGCAGTGTCGTTGCCCTCACATCACCAGCACATCACAGGCGGAGGCCCAGCAAAGGCTCGTCGCCACCAGGCGCTCGGCCCCCCGCGCCCCGAGCGAAGCCAAGCCCCGGAGCCGGCGGGCTACTCTTGCCGTGCCGCGCGCCTGCACGTTCTCACGGGATAGCGGCTTGGTCTCGGCTGGTCTCGGCTAGCCTCGGCTAGCCTCGGCTGGTCTCGGCTAGTCTCGGGAAGTCTCGGGCAATCTCGGGCAATCTCGGGTAATCTCGGGTAATCTCGCCGTGCCGCGCGCCTGCACCTTCACGGCGAGATGCCCGACCCGCCCGCAACTGTCTCGGGTGATCTCGGGTCATCGCGGGTCATCGCGGGTCATCGCGCCTGCACTTGACGGCGAGATGCCCGACGCGACCGCAGATGTCGCAAGTCTCGTCGGTGTGCGGGCAGTCGGCGACGACGTGCGCCGTCGAGCCGCACGCGTGGCACTGCGCCGGCTCCGGGCACGCGCCCGCCAGGTGGCCAACCACGCCGCAGTTGTTGCAGCGCTTGCTGGTCACGCCGCCGCCGCCGCCGCCGCCTTGAGGCGCCGCCGCCTTCTCCATCGCGCGCGCAGCCTGGTGCGCAGGGCAGCAAGGGAACGTGGCGAGAGGGTGAGGGTGGGGTGGGGGTGGGGGGGAGGGGGGCGAGGCTCGAGCCCGCGGGAGGCCGGCCGCACGGCAGACACACCTGCCGACACTTGGCCCTAAGGTGGCCGACGCGCCCGCAGATGTCGCAGGTCTTGTCGCGGTTGGGGCAGTCGGCGACGACGTGCGCCGTCGAGCCGCACGCGTGGCACTGCGCCGGGTCCGGGCACGCGCCGGCCAGGTGGCCAATCACGCCGCAGTTGTTGCACGCCTTTGACTTGGCACGACCGTTGGTGGCCCTGGCCCGCGTCGGCTTGTCGTCGTTGATCTGCGGCGGCGGGTGGGCGGCAGGGGTAGAGGCGAGGTCGCCGACCGGCGAGGGCGTCGGCGCGCACGATTTCTTGCAGCGAGAGGTCCAGGTTTGAGCCGGCCATCTGGGCTGAAAGAAGAAAAACTTCACCGCGAAGGGGTTGAACATATCACATGAACATCACCGGCCTTTTGGTATATTTTAAAAACATATGAACGGACGCGCGGAGACTGCGATGTCCTCAACAAAGCAGCGCGACGCGCCGCTGAACAGCCAACTGCGCAGCGACGCAACCGAATCCACCACGGCATCCGTCGCCGGTTCGCGACGTTGGCTGACCGTCGTGCTCGTTCTGGTTCCCGACATGGGTATGGAGTGCACCTTCAGCATCATCACGCTGGCGCTACCAGAGCTCATGGAGGCATTCGCTTCATCGGCCACTGTCGCCACGTGGGTGGTCATGGGCCCGATGGTCGTGCGCTCCGTGTGCGGCCCGATGTTCGGCACCCTCGGCGACCGGCATGGGCACAAGCGACTGTGGGTCATCGGGGCATGCATCGGCTGCAGCGCACTGCTGCTATCGGGATGCGCCACCTCAATGGCGATGCTCATCAGCGGCCGGCTGCTGCAGGGTGTGGGTCAGGGCATGACGATGCCTAACGGTTACGCGTTGCAAATCGCGGGCTTTTCCGATGAGGAGAAGCCCCAGGTGGTGGGCATCCTCAACGCTGGTGTCGTCGTGGGCCCAACGATGGGCATCGGCGTCGGCGGCATCCTGCTACAGTACATCTCGTGGCGCTGGCTCTTCCTTGGGCCGCTGCCACTCGTCACCGCCTGCGCCGCCGCGGCCTGTGCCATCGCGCCCGCTGCCCCAGCAAAAGCGGCGGAGGGCGCGTTCGACATGCTAGGGACTGCGCTGCTCGCGTTGGGCGTCGGTCTGCTGCTCATCTCGCTCACCGTCAGCGGCATCGGGCTGCCGATTGCTCTGGCGGGCCTTGTATCACTCGTCGCGCTCCACCCCGTCGAACGGTGCGCGGCGACTCGCGGCATCGTAACCATCATTCCAGCAGGCATCCACCGCGACGTGCCTGTCATTGCCGTCGTGCTTGCAAACATCTTCGACTCTCTGCCCCTCTCGCTGTCTGGTGTTAATGGACCCCCTTCCTCTCCCTCGCCACCGTCACCGTCTCCATCCCCGTCGCTACCGCCCTCCATGCCCGCCGCCCTTTGTTTCACACTCGTCTCTGCACACAAGTATACGCTTGCCTTCGACGCCTCAAGAAATTTCTTATACCTAACCCTTACCCTTACCCATACCCTAACCCCTAACCCTAACCCTAACCCTGACCCTAACCCCCAACCCTAACCCTAACCCTGACCCTAACCCTACAGCTCTACAGCGCTCTACATCTCTACAACTCTACAGCGCTCTACACTCTACATCCTCTACACCCTCCCTCAGCGGTGAACGAGCTAGCGTGCGGGGACAGCGGCATTGTGCACGGTGCTAAGTGCATTGCCGCTCTTAACGGAGTCGCTTAGGCGGCTCCGGTGGTGTGCCGGTGATAGTACTAGCACGCGCCAGTTCGCACCTGTGTCGAGCCATTGGCGGTGGTGTCGGGCACCGCCGGAGCGTCAAAGGGCAGTGGAACGGTTGCGGCGCGGCGCGGCCGCTTGGCGGCGGGCATCGATAGTGCCGCGGTGCTGTGGTGCTAGTTCGTGCCACTCTGAAAGAAAGAAAGAAAGAAAACACACAACCCAAGGGAGGGATGGGAGAACGGCACGCCGCCACCACACAGGGATTTTAAGGAGAGGAGGGTGTGATGCGCTAGCCGTCGCCCACCCTGGGGGGTCTGCCTCCTCGTGGTTCGTGCCACTCTGCTGTGAGAGGGGCTCGTGTCTAGAATTCTTTTTCTTCGGTGATAGTACTAGCACGCGCCAGTTCGCACCTGTGTCGAGCCTGTCTGCTGTGAGAGAGAGTTGTTTTGTTAAATTCTTTTTCTTGGCGGCCGGGCGGGCCGCGTGTTGCCGCCTGTCTCGCCTCGATGGCATCGGTCCCTGTCCTAGTTTCGACGCTCACCTGGTGCACGCCCTTCGTGCGTCGCGCCACGGTCATGTCGTCGCCCGTTTGCGACTTCCGCAGCAGCCGCAGCGGCGACTATTCGCAGAACACGGGCCGCTGGTCTTGCGGTGATAGAATGCTCGATCGCAGACCAGCGCCGCCGATCGAAGGCGCCACGAACGCTGCCCGAGGCGGCGACGATGGCGGCGACGGAAGCCGCGGCGGCGGCGGCTCAAAGGGCGGCCGCAGCGGCAAGCGCTCCTCGGCCGGGCGCGGGCGAGCCAAGCCTGGCCGGGCGGCGGTGGGGCGAGTGCTGCACAAGCTGCGCTCACTGCCGGACGGCGCCTCCTCGTCCGAGATTGGGCTGGCCCTCGGCGCGGCGCGGCCCAGCCAGCTCTCTGCGCGCGACTACACGACTGTCCTCACGACGCTGCGCAGGTGGGGAGATGCGGGGGAGATATGGGGAGAGATTGCTCTCTGCTACACGACCACACGACTGTCCTCACGACGCTGCGCAGTGCGCCGTCTCCTCTTCCGCCGCTCCGCCGCTCTTGCCGGGTCTGCTTGATGTTGAGGGGGGGGGGGTTGGGACGGCCACACACCCCTGCTTGAGGGTCCCGACTGCCTCTACCAGCTCCTTTGCCCTGCATCCCTCACCCGCCCCACGCCCCCACTCCCGACTGCCTTTACTAGCTCCTCTGCCGTCCCATCCCCTGCATCCCTCACCCGCCCCAGGCCCAGGCCCCCCCCCCCTCCCCCCCTCCCCCCCCCCCCCTTTCCTTCCTGCGCAGCGAGCGAAAGTGGCGGACGGCGCTGCAGCTGAGCGAGGCGCTCGTGGGGCAGCCGCGGGAGGAGGGCGCGCCGCGTGTTTCCCTTTTTTTTACTGCGCGCTTGTGTTTCTTTTTTTAGGTTCTCGCGGCGCAGCCGCGGGAGGAGGGCGCGCCGGCGCTGCCCAACCGGCTGCACTACAACGCGCTGCTCGCCGCGCCACGCGTTTCTTTTTTCACGCCGCGGGTCCGGTGTTTCTTTTTTTAGGCTTCACTACAACGCGCTGCTCGCCACGTGCGCCGACGCCGCCCGGCGGCGCGACGCCGCCGCCGGCGACGCGGCGCTCGGAGTCTTGCGCAAGATGGAAGGCGCAATCTCCCCAAATCTCCCCATCTCTCCCCGCATCTCGCCTCACCTCGGCCAGCTGAGTCAGGCCCCCCCTCTATATCTCCCCACACCTCCCCATATCTCCCCATATCTCCCCATATCTCCTCATATCTCCCCATACCTCCCCACGCCTCCGCACACCTCCGCATATCTCCCCACATCTCCCCATATCTCCCCGCATCTCCCCGCATCTCCCCACATCTCCCCACACCTCCCCGCATCTCCCCACACACCCCCGCATCTCCCCACACCTCCCC